TAAATGAATTTCAAGGGAATTAGGTTGTAGCCTGGGTGACAGAACAAGACTCTGACTCTAAATAAATAAATAAAACGAGAGCAAAAACAAACACGTACACAGCACACATGTAGCAGGCACTGTTCTGAGTGTTTCCTGTGCATTAATTCACTACATCCTCACAACAATCCTACGTCATCTCCATTTTACAGGTGAGGCAACTGAGGCACAGAGAAGTTACATAATATGCCCAAGGCCATGGACATACAGCTGGTAAGTGGTAGAACAAAAACCCAGCAGCCTGGCTCCTGAGTGTAGGCTCTTAAACTCTATTAAGCTCTTAAACTCTGGCCGGGTGCGGTGGCTCACGCCTTTAATCCTAGCACCCTGGTAGGCCGAGGCGGGCGGATCATTTGAGCTCAGAAGTTCGAGACCAGCCTGAGCAAGAGTGAGACCATGTCTCTACTAAAAATAGAAAGAAATCAGCTGGACAACTAAAAATATATAGAAAAAATTAGCCGGGCATGGTGGCGCATGCCTGTAGGACCAGCTACTCGGGAGGCTGAGGCAGGAGGATTGCTTGAGCCCAGGAGTTTGAGGTTGCTGTGAGCTAGGCTGACGCCACAGCACTCTAGCCCGGGCAACAGAGCGAGACTCTGTCTCAAAAAAAATAAATAAATAATAAACTCTTAAATTCTATGGGTGTCTAGAAAAGACCACAACAGTAGAAAATAGGCAGAATATTTAAATGGTAAAGGTAAAACAATGGCTCTTAAAAGGAGAGAAAAAGAGAAGGGTGGTACAGGCTTCCCTGTACCTCTGCCCCGAGAACCCAGCCTTCTTACAACCTCATCTGTCCCACACTGGGCAAACTCAGCTGCTGCCACACCCTGCCACACCCCAGCGGGGCCAGTGCACAGACCACTCCTTCAAGACAAAAGACAGAGCCTCGCCTTCCAAAACCTGGCCCCCCCCCCCCCCGCAACAGCTGCTCGCCCCAGGAAGCACGGCGGCGGCGGCGGCGGTGGGGGGGAGAGGCCATGCCTCAGCTTTCACAGGGAGACAGTATGACAGGTGCAGTGGGCCGACAGGTGGGGGGCACGTGGGCACAGCTTTTGAAACAAAGAGGACTGAGAAGGGAAGAAGAGATCCCCTCTTTTAGACCACCTCCCCTTGGAGAATGTGCGGGCTGTCTGCCCAGTATCCCAGCTTGGGGCAAGGAGAAGAGAGGCAGCTCCAGCAGCCATGACCCAGGCAACAAAGGACTCAGCATGAGGCCACCAGAAATGCCTGCTCCCAGGCATGCAGGCCCTTTGGAAAAGATCCAGCCCTCTGACTGCCCCTCCCCCACCCTCATTCCCTTACATCCCCAAGGCCTGTTGGACGATGGGCGTATCTTGGGGAGTGGAGAGTGTAGACAGAGGAAGCTATCCCAGCTACCTGGGGTCCCCACAACAGTCTTCCAGACTAACACCTCATTTGGCAGGTGACTTCTCAGATGCCTACAGAGTAGAGAATGCCAGCCCTGCAATCCTGTAATCTTTCCCTCTAATTAATCTCAGTCCTACCACTCCTGAGAGGAAAATAGGAATAAGTTAAAATGTAGCTACAGACACCCACAAGTACATACAGGCACTTGCATCTGTGTACAACCGGCCACTCCCACCTTGCCTGTGTGCCTGAGAGTAACTCAGAGGCCAAGACCTTGGTGCCTGTGCTCAGCTGTGTTGTGCCTTAAATGCCACACCCCCTGCGACAACAACGAACAGAGCCCCCTGCCTGAGCTCAGCCCAAGGTGGGGTTCAGTCAGGGCTGCCTCTCCTCCCGCAGGGCTCAAATATTAAACTGAATGAGGCTGAAGGAGAGGAAGGGACCGCAGGTAGAAAGATCAGTATCCAGAGCTGGGACTTTGCCTCTGGGCGGGGGAAGAGGAAGTGCTCAAAGGCATGAACAGAGAATGTTTTACCGGGGTCAACTCTCCCATGGCAGCTCAAGAAACAACTCGCTTTGGACTGTTAGTAACAGGGGAATTGGAGGGACCACGTGGAACACAGGACCCAAACCGGAGCTCCTGGAAGCTGGCCGTGAACAGAATAATCCATCATTTTATTTGAGGAGACTGAGGCCCAGTGGAGGAAAGTGACTCTCAAAAGTCACACAAAAAAGCGGTAGCAAGAGTGAGACTAGGACCAAGATCTCTCCGTTCTCTTCCTCCTACTTCCTGCACATGGCATTCTTTATTGCTTCCAAAATGGTGTTCCCTCCACAAGACAGCTAGTTGGGGTGTGCTTCCCGTACACGAGGTGCAGGTTTACTTTCTGGTTCATTCAGCAATGTTTTAGCCTTGGGATAGTGACCATGAACCACAAATCATAACTATTAGCACAATAAAAGCAGCTAAGACTTACTGAGCCCTTATGTTGTATCTCCTCTGATCCTTATGACAACCCTATCATTCAAGTATGACTACTATCCCCATTCTCCAGATGAGGAAACTGAGGCTCAGAGAGGTTAACTAATTTACCCAAGGTTACACATCCAGGAAGTGTCCATTTAAACCACTTCCTGTGCTCTTTACCACTGGGTTTCACTGCTGCCTCCCAAGTATATTGGTAAACAAATAAATGTGACAATTTCAGATACAGCTAAGTACTATGAAAAAATAAAGCTTGGTGAGAGGTAGAGGATGATCTTGAGGGTAGCTCTCTCTTGAGCTCTAGGTCGGTGCACAGGAAGAGTCCATGTCAAGAGGTAATGACGTTTGCACAGAATCCAGATGGACAAGGAGCTTGCTGTGCCAAGATCTAAAAGAAAGTCATTTTTAGATAAAGAGAAAAGTTTGGGTTTTTTTTTTCTCCACGCATAATAGAAAGACACTGTTGGGTTTAAGCAGAGAAGTGACCTGTTTTGCCGTGTGGTTAATGGATTATAGGGGGCAGCAGGAGAAATGATTTGAAATTTTCAGGGAATTTGACGAGGAGGAGGAAGGAGGGGGAGATGGGGCAGGACCCGGAAGAGCGCAAGGCAATCTGGGACTGGCACTCTCATTTTGTTCCCACAGCCCTAAAGCCCCCCTCTCCAATAGGTTGGATGGTCTTTGAAAATAAAAAAGGACCCCTAGCTGGGCATGGTGGTTCATACCGATAATCCCAGCAGTTTGGGAAGCCAAGGCAGGGGAGGCGGATTGCTTGAGGCCAGGAGTTCAAGACCAGCCTGGGCAATATAGCAAGACTCTCATCTCTACCAAAAATAAAAAAAAATTAGCCGGGCGTGGTGGCACATTTATAGGCCTAGCTACTGGGGAGGCTGAGGTGGGAGGATCTCTTGAGCCCAGGAGTTGGACGCTGCAGTGAGCTATGATGGCATCACTGCATTCATTCCAGCCTAGGTGACAGAGCGAGACCTTGTCTCTTAAAAAAAAGAAAAGAAACGAAAGCTCCACAAGCCATTGTACATCATTTTGTTTTGAGGCCCTGCTTGAAAACTGGAAACAGACTTTGACTTCCAGCTACTTTCGGGACTGATTCCCAGGGAAGTCACTTCACTCATGTGCTGAACACCTGCTCTGTAACATGTCCTGTGTGAACTGGACTCTTTAGCTGGAAGAATGAAAGCTGCATGACATTAAACATGACCTTTCTGTCCCCCCGTTTTCTCCTCTGTAAAATGGAAGTGATAATTCTTCAGAAAGCTGTTGTGAGAATTATTTAGAACAAGACTTATAAAAGTAGTCACAGTCGGTGCTTAATCATGGTGGCTGTACGTACTGAGGTGTGGTGGACAGCTCATAGGCTCAGGGTAGCAAAGCTGCAGGGGGGATTCCAGGACCCAAAAGGGACCCACGTCCCCTGGAACGGGGCCAAAGTCTCTCAGAGCTGCAGAGGTGTGTGCGTAGGGTGGGTCACTGCCTGCTACTCACAAGTATCCTCTCCTTGGGCAAGACCCAGCACAGCTGCCGGCACCCTCTCCCCTCCCATCCCAGGGCCTTGGCTGCCCCCTAGGCTTGGGCTCTGCTGCCATCTCTTCCTTCTTCCCCATGCCACCCCCAAGCCCTGGAAACCCTCAAATCCCCAAATGTTGCTGAAATATCCCTGCTTTTCCTTGCGGAGCCACCTCTGCACGTTCTCGTAGCCGGGCTAGAGGGCAGGCTAAGCCTGGGAAGGTACTTGGGGCTCCAGGGCACCGCCGCTCCCCAGCCTCCCTCCAAGTCGCCAGGGCTGTTGGTCCCAGACGCCCAGCCCCGATCGGCCGCAGCCCCCATCTGGCCTCTTGGAGCCCGCTCCCCGCGGGCTGGTGCCGCGTCCTTGCACGGACCCCGCGGGGCACCCTGGGAGGTGTAGTTTCTCATGGCTCTCGGCAGGGCTCAGGCTGCAGGGCTGAGTTCCCTCTCACCGGATGGATGCGTCTCCGGCAGCCCCGTGCATCTGCCGATGCGCGACCCTCCAGGGCCAAGCCGGTTGCCAAACCCGAAAGAGGCAGGGCAGCGGGCTAGCGCCGGGAGCACGCAGCCTCCAGATGTAGGGCCTTGGACAAGTCCCAGAACCCACACTAAATTCCTTTCTTGTAGGATTGCTAGGGAGAGCAGCTGTCTTGGTGCCAGGTACTGCTGGTGCTGTCCTTACTGCCAGGCAGAGTTGCCAAAGGCGATTCGGCCCCTAGAAGGGTGTGAGGCCCAAAATGGGAACCCAGTGGCCCCCCTTTCTCCCCACACAGACCCCACCTCAGGTGCCTCTCCCTGGCCCACCCAATACCCCTTATTGCTTCCAAATGTCCACAAACACACTCTCCATCTACTCAGAAATATCTGATATTTATTTCCCAATATTTTGACAATTTTTTACAAATTGAATAAACAGAATAAAGGGGAGTATGTGGGACCCCAGGCCTGGCCTTGGGCTCTCAATGAAAGGTGACAGTATGAAAACATCTCCTCACTCACAACTTCTGGCCTGCTGCCCTGACCCCCTAGCAGCCTTACCTAACAGTAAGGTGGGGGCTTTTGGAGGATCTGGGGTTCTCCCCTAGAGGGGACTTTGGGCATCCTGTTTCAGGCACTGAACTGGGTGAGATTTGGGGGGAGTGTGGGTCCGGATGTGGCACCGTCTTTGCCTCTCCTGCCTGTGGGACAGCTGTTGTATCTGTTTCCGGATGGCCCACAGCACCAGGTACACTTCCCGCAGCAGCTCAGCCTCCGGCGTCTGCAATGGGGACTGGGTCATCCTTTGGGAGGTAATGGATGCAGAACTCACAGATGACTATAAAAGAAAGAGAAGATGTGCACGTGTAAATAGCTGGGTCTAGGTTGAAACTACTGGTAGAACAACTTGCAGGTAAACAGCAAAGGGCTCGTCTAATTCCACCTCCTCCTTCAGGCCAGCTCACACACCACCTCCTCTAGGAAGACTTCTCAGGCTGCATTGGATGTTTGTTGTCTCAACTTCTGTGTTTCCTTTGTCATATCACGTTTCATACACTATTTGTTCTGAGGACTTATCTGTTTTAGCCACTAGAATGCAAGCCCCTGGGAAACAGGGACCATGTGTGACCCACCCTTGATCTCCATTCAGGGTTTCATGGAGAGTGTGTTAAAAGGAAGGACAGAGGACAACCCGACTCTGTCTCCAGCTCAGAGCTCTCTCCTGACCTCCAGGCCTGTGTATCCCACTGCTTCCAGGACACCTCCATGCAAATGTCCTATCGACATTACAACTCATCTTTGTAATCCTCGCACTCTGGGAGGCCGAGGCGGGCGGATTGTTTGAGCTCAGGTGTTCAAGACCAGCCTGAGCAAGAGCGAGACCCCATCTCTATTAAAAAAAAAAAATAGAAAGAAATTAGCTGGACAACTAAAAACATATAGAAAAAATTAGCCAGGCATGATGGCACATGCCTATAGTCCCAGCTACTTGGGACTACTTGGGAGGCTGAGGCAGGAGGATTGCTTGAGCCCAGCAGTTTGAGGTTGCTGTGAGCTAGGCTGATGTCACAGCACTCTAGCCTGGGCAACAGAGTGAGACTCTGTCTCAAAAAAACAAAACAAAACAAAACAAAAAAACAACTCATCTTGCCCAGCCCCCTAAACTTATCACCTCCACCACTAAGTCCTCCTTCATTCTCCATTCTAGTGAATGTCTCCAGCCTGACTGACTCTGTCTCTCCCTCTCCTGCTTATCTCCATCCAATCTACCATCTGGCCCAACAATTCTACCTCCCAAATATGGCTGAAATCCATCAGAGGCATCTTGTTCTACCCGACACCTCTGTCCCATTGGTCAATGGCCAGCATTCTCCCTGGGTCCAGAAGAGCATTCTTTCTTAGCCTGGACTACATCAGCCTCCCACAGATCTTCCTGTCCCTCCTCTTGTCCCCTGGAAAACTCTCCCTCCACAGGGCAGCCAGATAAACCTTTTCTTATGATTAATGCAGTAATACTTTATTCAAGAACAAAATAAGTTGATTTGGTAGTGACCTAGGTATTTCCTCTTTTTAAAATTAAACTTTTTTTTTTTTTTTGAGACAGAGTCTCACTCTTTTTGCCCAGGCTAGAGTGCCGTGGCATCAGCCTAGCTCACAGCAACCTCAAACTCCTGGGCTCAAGCGATCCTCCTGCCTCAGCCTCCCGAGTAGCTGGGACTACAGGCATGTGCCACCATGCCCGGCTAATTTTTTTTTTCTATATGTTTTTAGTTGTCCAATTAATTTCTTTCTAATTTTAGTAGAGACGGGGTCTCGCTCTTGCTCAGGCCGGTCTCGAACCCCTGAGCTCAAACAATCCGCCCGCCTCGGCCTCCCAGAGTGCTAGGATTACAGGCGTGAGCCACCGCGCCCGGCCTTAAAATTAAACTTTTTATTTTGAGATCATTGGAGATCAACATACAGCTGTAAGAAATTATAGAGATCCTGTGTATCCTTCATCCAATTTTCCCACAATAGGAAAATTTTACAGAACTATATCATAGTCAGGACATTGACATTGATATTCATACAATCTACTAATCTTATTCAGATTTCCCCAGCTTTACTTGTCCTCACTGGGGTGTGTGTGGGTGTGTGCGTTTAACAAAATTTTGTCATATGTGCTGGTTTGTGTATCCAACTACCAGAGTCCAGATTCAGAACATTTCCAGCATCACAAGGATCTCTCCTGCTGGCCGTCTATAACCACACATCCCCCCGCAGCCCCTGGCAACCCTAAACCACTAATATATTCTCCATTTCTACAATTTTGTTATTTCAAGAATGGTATATAATTTAACTAGATGCATAGAGTATATCACGTTTTGAGATTGGTTTTCACTAGGTACAATTCCCTCGAGAGTCACCCAAGTTGTTGCATGTATCAATAGTTTGTCCCTTTTTATGGCTGAGTAGTATTCCAGGGTATGGATCCATCACAGTTTAACCATTGGCCCACTGAAGGACATTTGGGTTGATTGTGGCTATTACAAATAAAGCTGCTATGAACATTCACATATAGATTTTTGTGTGAACATAAAATTTCATTTATCTGAGATAAATGCCCAAGAGTACAACTGGTGGGTCATATGATAATTACATATTCAGTTTTATAAGAAACTATCATATTCTTTTCCAGAATGGTTGTACCAAATTACAATCCCACCAGCAATGTATAAGTGCAGGTGAGATTTCTAAATCAAAATCTGATCATGCTACTCCTCTGCTCATATGTCTTTAAGGGCTCCCACTGCTCTTGAGGTCAAAGCCAAATTCCACAACTTAAATATCCACCCTGCCTTGTATGGTCGGCTCCAGGATCGCTCCCCTCTGACCCACACGCTTTGGGCCAGCTCTGCAAACACCTGCTATTCTTTCTTCATAGAACACTCCTCCCACTCCCTCCACCTTCCCCTAACAATCCCCTCAAGCCAAGCTAACTCCTTCATGTCTCAGCTTCACCCTCTCTTCTGTTAGGAAGGCCTTGTCTGACTCCCCAAGTCTAGATGAGATGCCCTCCTTTGGGTTCCCACAGCTTCCTCGACCTCCCATGTCACACCCAAAAACGTGTGTGGATAATGAACCAACAGTGCCTTTCATCTTGTCTGTAGCCCCCACGTCTGGAAATCTTGTTCACCATTACATCCGCAGCTCCTGGCTCAGCTCCTGTAACTCAGCAGCATGGGAGATGAGTGTTGAACAAGTGAATGGAGAGAGGAGTGAGTCACTGGGGGTTGGGGAGGGGTCTTGGGAACGAGGGGGACAGTGCTGACCTTCCAGCTGCACATTTGCCAGCCGGTCCGTAGGGCGGAGACCATGAGCGTGGAAACGGACTGAACAGCCGTCTGGGGCAGCCGGAGCAGGGATCGGCCCTCACCACCCAGCTCCATCTTGGTCCCGTCTCTTGCCTTGGCCAACACACAGGGCTCAGCCAGCCCAGGGGACACATCCATCCTGGGAAGCTTATCCTCTCTGCAGGACTCGACAAACTTCAAAGTTTCAACTGCCTTGGGAATCTTCTCCACCCCCTTCAATGCATGTTTCTTGGAGCCACCGTATTCCAAGATGGTTGGCCTAACTTTTGGTTTCCAGGAGAAAACCTAAGAACCAAGACAGAGAAGAGAGAATAGAGGGGCAGAAAAGTCCACAGAGAGGGCAGCACAAAAGGAATGGGGCAGTGAGCTCCATGGCCTCCTTCCCTTCAAGCCCCTTGCTGGCTCCCCATCCCTAGCCTTGCTTGGTGGTAGGGGGCTGCTGCAACCTACAGGTCAATGACCAGCACTCTCATCCCAGCACATCCCGGGGACAAGGCAGTCTCTTCAACTCACCCAGCAAGTAATCTTTTGCCAAGCCCGCCTAACCCATCGGAAGAATCTCATGATGGCAGCCATCTCTCCTGAAAGGACGAACCCAAAGTAGGGGGCAGAACCAGCATTTGGTACAGTGGGGGTGGAGGCTGGAGGTGGGGGTTGGGGAGGGGGACAGGCCACAGGCAGTGGCTGCCACCCAAGGGGTATCCTGGGAGCTGAGGGGTTTCACGCACAGCAGTGAAGAAAGGACTAAGAAACCCAGGAGGAAAGCCCACTCCAGCAACTCATCCCAGGCCTTTCCTCCCCTCCCTGGGACAGGGAGAGGAGTCAAAGTGGATAAGAACCTACAGTGAGGGAGAGTTCTAGCCCATTGTGAGAGCCTGCCTGGCCGGACCCCAACCCCCGAGGCCCTCCCAGGACCCAGGGAGCCAATCCCTTCTGTCCCTGGCCCTTCTTCCCTCAGATGCAGGGAAAGGAAACTAAGATGTGTCCAGCGCCTGGTGTGTGCCAGGCATTTTCCACGTACCATGTCATCCTCACAGCAGCCCCTCAAGGTAGGTATCATGGTCAGGGCCACTTTACCAATGAGGAATCTGACATTCAGAAAAACCGAAGAACTTGCCCAAGGTCATAAATCTAGGGAGTTTAAGGCAGAGGAGTCCAACCCAGTTCAGCCTCCAACTGGTCCCTTCCGCTCCTCCCAAGGCCCTCCTGAGGCTGCCTTGGACACTTTCTCCTCTTCCCCACTAGGTGGGGTCCTTCTCCCTTGCTGACTCTTCCGCCTGGGACCGGAGCCCAGACTGCCAGGAGGGGCCAACTCACCCACAGGCCCATCTTCAGCCAGCCGGGGGTGGAAGCCACGGCAGCCGGCCAGGCCTGGCGAGGGCACTGTGTGCCCAGGGAGCCTGGCCCACGCCCAGCCCTGAGACAAGGGGCCCATTCAGGGCCCCCTGCCCCGCCCCCAAGCAGCCACCCGGATCCAACCCGCAGAGGGGACACACTGGGAAGCTGGGGGTGGATCCTGCACAACCACCAAAGGCCTCATTGTTCCCCTCTCCCCCCAGCACGTGGGCAGACGCCCCCCTCACCCCACTCCTCTGCCTGCCCCTTCCCAGGACCCGAAGTGCTGGCTCCTTTGCCTGCCTCTCTCAACCCTGCTGTCTCTACTGCGTTAAACCTCCCCAGTCTGGACAGGATCTTCAGGCAGCTCAAACTGTAGCACGGGCCCCCAGTCTAGACACAAGCGAGATGTGAGCCTCCAAATTCAAGTTTCTTCAAATTTTTTAATTATTATTATTACTTTAATAACAACCTGAATCCCAGAACTTCCAGATACTGTCCGTACTCCCTCCCCTGGGCAGAGGAGAGGGGGCACTTTGAAGGAACAAGGTAGGGGTGGGTTGTCTGCCAGGGAGCCTGCAACTCCCCCAAGCCATCTACTGCTGGTAGTCTAGTGAGGGAGCAGTGGGGCTGGGATCCCTCATGGAGGGGGCTCCATCTAATACCCCATCAGGAAGCCCACCCTCCTCCATCAGGGCCTGGGGACGATGGGGAGATTGGGGTATGGTGGTGGGACAGACCAGCATTGAGCCTTAACTCCCACTCCGTGGACCAGGGGGCATTAAAGCTGCATAGGAAGAGGGGGCAGGCAGTTGGCACAAGGCCTGGCAGCCCCAAAGGCACATTGTGAGGGAAGGGAGGCTCAGACGGAGGGCCCATTGGGCGCGGGGGGACCAAGCCGTGGGATCCCCGAGGAGGGCAGCTGGGCCAGCTGCTCCGGGCTGGCCAGGGCACGCAGCAGTCCATTCTCCTGCTCCAGCGCAGCATTCCGCTCGGCCAGGTCCCGGATCTGCTCCTTCAGCACCTCCACCTCCTCCCGGACCGCAAACATGAGGTGGGACTTCACCAAGTCCTGGGGGCCCGGGAGACAGGCAAAGCATCAGGGGTGCCAGGCCACCCCAAACTCCTTCACTGCCCAGTGCCCTGAGGACTTGGGTGTGGGAACTTCCCTTGCACCCAAATGATGAGGGACAAAGCAGGGACAGGGCAGGGTACAAGGACAGGGGACAGAGACAGAATCAGGGCTCACACAGATAGGGGCCAGCAGCCAGACTGAAGCCAAGCAAAGTCAAGGGCTGAGGTGGAGACAGCAGGGGGCAGAGGACCCAAGGGAGCCCAGCAGGGAGCAGATCACAGAGCAGGGAGTTAATGTTCCCTGGTAATGAGAGCAGGGCGGGGGCAGAGCTCAGGGGGCCAGGGCCTGCCAGGACCAAGATGGCTTCTCTTACCATGGCTTGTTCGATCTTGTTGTCAATGCCAACCAGGCTTCCGGAGCCACTGGAGAGACACAGGGAGGTGAGAGGTGAGGAGGAGGAGCCGTCCCAGGTGCTGCCTTCTTGGAGCAGGCTCTGGCCTCCTCCACAAGCCCCACTCACCGCAGCCTCCCGCCCATACCCCGGTACCTGTGACAGTAGAGAATCAGGGAGAGGAGGGTTTTGTCCATCCCCCGACGGGTGGAGGGCCGCTGCCCTGGGCCCCCCACACCCCGGTGGGGTGGGGGTCCAGATGCCCCTCGGATGGGGGATGCTCCCCGAGGGGAACAAGGGGAAGAGACACAGCCCCTTTTTCGGGGTGGCCCTGGAGCCATCCCTACCACTCGAGTCTCATAAGATGACACCAGGGACTTGACAGAGACCCCTGGCTGGGCCATCCCTGAGGGGAAAGGGTCTCCAGGCCCCGCCAGGGGGAGAGGGCTGTGTCAAAGAGAGTGCCTGGGGGGCTCAGAGCCCCCCGGGCAGAGTGGGGTCTGGCTGGTGCCAAGCAGGCAGAGAGGAGACAGCGCCTAGGGGGTGCTGGCCTGAGAGATATACACCGCCCCCCCCAGGGCAAGGCCTGGCTGCTATTGGTTCCTCAGGGACACGGGGACCCCCCTCCTGCTGGCTCCTCGGTGGGCGGGAATTCCCAGACACGGTCAGTGCCAGTGTCCCCTTCTCACCCTGGCACCAATCCCAGAGTGGAGGGGAGGGGGCCAGCAGAGGGAAGTCAGCTGGTGGCTGGGCCGGGGGAGGAGCCGCAGGGCAAGAAGCCTGGGTCTGAGAGGGATGTGGAAGGTGGGGAAGATCCTGGCCCCACCCTGACCCCATCCTGACCCCTCCAGATGGGCACGGTCCCTTGAGGCCTCAGGAAAGGGATGGGTGGGATGGGGGGAGGTTCCCACGTGCTGTGGTCTTCTGTGGAGTGAGCAACCCCCCAAACACGAAGCCCACATCATGGGTGAGCCCTGGGACCTGGGCCAGAGGGTCCCTGACCTCCCACAGTGAAGGAAAAGGAAAAAGATTACCATGGCAACAGAAACTGAGCCCAAAGCCCTGCAGAACAAATACAGCCTGTGGTCTGGGACCTGGGTCTGGAGTCTTGGAGGTCTGGGGTCTCGGAGGGAGTGAGGGCTTGAGGGGATGTGGGAAGGTGAGGTTGGAGGTGGGACACTGGGCATAGGAGCAGGGGCTTTGAACAGAGCTGGGAGGGGGATGACAGGCATCGGGGAGCAGGTCTGGCTGCAATTTGTAAAGTGGCCACCAGAGGTCGACTCAGGCCTGGCTCAACAACACAGCCAGGGTCCTGGCTGTCCCCATGACACTGGGCTCTGGGTCCTGGACCTGGCTCTCCCTCAGGCCCCTCTCTCGTTGCTTACAGCCCTTGTGCCCTGTCCCATCCTCCAGGGCTCCCTTTCCCACCACTCAGGCCCCAGGCCCCTGCCTCCACCTGTGGCCCATGACCTGCCCCATCCAGCCTCTGCCTCAGCCCCTGGGCCAGCCCTCCACGCTTGCCCCACTGTGCTACAGGATCACCAGTCCTGTCTTCCAGCCCCCAGCTGAGCCCCTCTCAGAGCAGGGACCTCAACATGCTGCATCCCACACCCTGTTCCCCCTTGGAAGCCCTCCCTCCTGGCTGTCAGCCCCAACTTGCTTCCCTGCAGGGGGATCAGTGCGTTCAACTCAAGGTGACCCTTGGATGAGGCCCAGCAGCCAGGGAGGGAGCACGAGGGAGCTGGGAATTTTCCATTTCCCATCCAAGCTCTGGGTGCAGAAGGTGCTGACAGGTGGGGCAACCAAGGGGGTGACCAGGTCTGAGAGGGCAGGATGGGGTGGGGGAAGGGAGGAGAGAAGAAATTTAAGAGCGAGAGGGCAGGCCAGCCAGCCAGAGAGCAAAAGCACTTTTCAACCTATTTCAATCAGGACAACACCTGGGCAGAGACTGGGCCACCGCAAAAAAAATCGGGCGCGCACACACACACACACACAGACCAAAGGGGGCAGACACACAGGAATAGGAACATTGGCCTCACTTGGCAGACACTTGGGGGAAGATGCCAAGTAAATTGTTCATTCTCGCCAGAAATAAAGGAATAATACAACAATAAACATTTGTTGGCTGATAGATGACTATCTCTTGTTTGTCTAGCGCTGGGGAGTTTTTGACAGCACTTTCCACTGTGACATTCCAACGTAACCTTCAAGGGACCAGGTCTCTGGCAACCCAAGCCCTCCCTTTGAGAAGCCCTAAGTGAGGGGCCACAGTCACTGTGCTAGAATTCTTTGGCAGGGACAAGATTAGTGCTCACCACAGCCCAAAAGCAACTTTGTGTTAATTAGAACAAAATGCCCCCTTCTTCAAGACACTGATAGCCAACTTCAGTCACTGTCATGACTTCAAGCATTGACTGTGATCTCAAATGTGAGTGGCACCCCCTGGAGTTGTGCAGTGTGACATGCACAACTGGGCACTCTAGCCCTCAGGACTCCTGGGTCCTCGGGTGGGGACAGCCCTAGAGGCTGGTCTTCCTCTTTGAAGGTCAAATAAAACAGCTTCAACGCAAGGATCAGATGAAGCAGCAAGACACCTGGGAGAGGTGGGGAGGTTCAGATCCTGGGGACAGAGGCCAGCCCCGCTCCTTCGAGGAGCCCCTAGGGTCTGGGCTTGAGGCCAACAAAGTGGCATCTGGCTGCCCTGTCTACACTCCCTCCCGGATCTGGATCTGTGGTGCCCTCAGGGCAGGGCCAGGCCAGGGAGGGGGAAGGGGGTGCTGGCACCTTGCCTGCTTGGGAGAGCTGTCCCTGACTCTGTCCTAGCAAGAAAGGGCATCCTAGAGAGACCATTGGCACCTCCTCTTCTCTTGGGACAGAGACATCATAGGAAAGCAGGGACAGCATGGCTTTAGGGTGAGACCCAGGCTCAGACTGCAGTCCAGCGACTTACAAGCTGGGTGACCTTGGGCAAGTTTCTAAAACCCTCCTCCTGAGTCTCAGATTCTTCATCTGGAAAGTGGGGAATTGTTTTTAGGATTACATGAGATAAGAGGTAGCACCGGACCCAAAGGAGGCACTGGATAAATGTACCTTTTATTTCCTAAGACCCCGGGATCCATTCTCCATAATCCCCCCAAGCTGACCACCCATCCACCCAGCCAGCCAGCCAGCCATTCATTCACACCTTAACTAACTGCCTCCCACCTGTCAGGCCCTGTTGGGAATATAAAAGATCTTCCAGCCCAGGAGCACATGAGCAGTCTGAGTTCACCAGGCACCCTCTGTTCTCCCAGTCCCAGATTCAGGGATTGGTCAGGCATTCCTAACTCCCCCCCGCTGGGGTCTAGGCCCTTAACACTTCAGCCCATTTTCCCTCTCAAAAGTGAGATCTCAGGACACTTGGACCCTGCTCTCCTGATAGCTCTGGGCATATCAGACAGGTGAGGTGGTGTCTACACGCCCCAATCCTGGGGGCTGTGGGGTGGCACAACCCAAACTCACAGGCCCAGCAGGGTGGGGCACAAAGGCCTGAGCTGGGACAGAGCCTCAGAGCCTTGGAGCACAGCAGGGTAAAGCAGGAGGATGGGAGCCGGACCGGTCAGACTGGGGTGTGCAGAGGGGGTGAGACAGAGGGAGGGAGGGGAAAAGCCAAAAGAATAGAGCTGAGAACCCTCTAAGACACAGAAAGCAGGAGGCTGGGCTATGAAATCAACAGGGTGGGGGAAGGACAGGGAGCCCTCTTGCCAGGGAACCTCCCAAGTGGGAGGGGGAGAGGGTGGGAAGCACTGAGAATAGCAGCGAGGGGGGCAGGTGACTCTCTTGGCCCTGGCCGACCTCACACCTCGCGCATTCCAGAGTGCAGAAGCCGCCCTGCCCTGCCTGCCCGCCGCACCGCCCCCTCTGCCTTCCATCCCACCGCCTCCCTGGCACCCCTTCTCCTTCCTCCGCGGGTCCCCAGTGCCTCAGGCCCCTTTCTTTGATGGGCTTTAAGGCCCTCATTCTGGGGAGCGGCGCCACATTCGGGGGCGGCAGGAAGGAGAGACCGCCATCTGGACTGAGTCCCTCCAGCACCCACTCACCCACTCGCGAAGTCCCGCCCCGCGTTTCCTCCCAAACAGGAAGTCCCGCCCCTCCAGGACCTCACACAGGAAGTCCCACTCTTCCCTCCAAAATAAAAGTGGCGACTCCCAGCCCTTCTTGAGGTTCCTATCAGTCCACAGCCAGAAGCCAGCGGCCTGGCTATCTGACTCGCGATTTTGTGCCTCCCTTTTCAGATGACATTTCTGTGAATGTTGAAACCTGGCCCTTGAAACAGGAAGTTCTGCACACGCTGCCACCCAACAGGGCATCTCCTCCAAAGGGCAAGCCCCAGAAAGTCCTGCTCGCCTGTGCTGTCCTTGCTCCCAGACTGCTGTCCCCACAGCTTGGCTTTGCCAAGGTGAGGGCTTGGCCCCCATGCTGCTCCTAGCTCTGTCTGCTGGCCCCATCCCTTCAGGGAACAGAATCTCAGGGCAATGATTTCTTGGTACTACAAGTACTAGGGTCGTAAATTAGTCTGTATGGACTATAAGGATGTCACACCACAGTCCGTAAGGGCTGTAAGGAGTCCCATTCCCCTCGCTGGTAGGGAGAACATGAAATGCAACGGGAGGAGACTGATTCTCTATTCTCTCCAGCACATTTGCCAGTGGGTTCCTAGGGTTGGCCAGATGATCGCTAAATCTGCAAGAGCTCTGGAATTTGACAACAATGACTCCCTTCAAACTCTAAAAAAGTCTCTGACTTAACAGTCCCAAGCCAGGGAGTCCCACCCAGCTCTCTCCACAGAGAGGGAGTGGGTCCCAAATCAACTCTGCCCAGCAGTTATGCCCAGGCCAGGTTTCTGTTTAAGAGGTCCTCTCCAAGTTCAACCTGGGGGAAGGACATTTACCAGGCAGTTTCATGCAGCTATCCCAGCTGCTGGGTGCAGAGCCTAATCCTCATGCCCCATCACACAGAGCACACCTACCTATCGTCATCGCTGTCCAGGTGACCACTGATGGCCAACATGGAGCGGGCCAGGCTGAGGCTCTGGGCTGCTGCCCCAAAGGGGTCTGGAGACTTGTGAACCAAACTGGCATCAGGGAAGAAGTAGAGAGCCGGGGAACTGGGGCGAGAGTCGAGTGCTGGCACCTGGAGGCAGAGAGGTAGGAACCATCACATGGAGAGAGAGAGAGGGAGAGAGAGAGAGAGAGAGAAAATAGCCAGCCACCTTATAACTTGCTGAGCAGTCTCCCTCCCCACTCCCCACCTGCCCACTGTCTTCCAAGGACCCAGGAGTCCTGTCCCACAGCCCTTGCCCCTTCAAGCTCTGGGGAAGGCAGGTACCAGAAGCAAGCGACAGGGGTCACCCTGAACACTGGGGTGAGTGGCACATAGGGTATCACAGAAAAGGGCTCTGGTCTGCTCTCCAGCACCCCTGCTCCCCCCAAGCTGAGCTGGGACCCCTAATCAGAGGCTACTCAGAGAATATCTGCCTTCTTAAAGTGACTCAAATGTCACTTCCTTAGACATTTCCCCATCATTCACTAATTCACTGAACTGTTTCATTTTTTTATAGTATCTAACATTATCTGAAATTAAAGTATTTATTGTGTCTCCCCTGCTGGACGGTCAGTTTGTTCAGTAGCTATTTGTAGAATGAATGAATCCTCAGAAACTCTTTCTCCAACCCCCCACCTCCAATTTTAGCCTCTCCTCCCAAACTTGTCGGGACTCAGGTGAATTCTGCTCCTGCTCTCTGCCCTGCTTTGGGATGGAGGGGGCAGTTGTGGAGATGGGGGGAGGCGGAGCCTGGGCGTGGACCCACACAGCCCAAGAGGCACTGGGGGTGGCTGCAAAAGGGCGGGGGAGACAGGAACAAGACAAGACGCCTCTGTGAGGCCTGGGAGGCCCCAGCTTCTCGGAAAAGCCAAGAACAGAGAGTCCAGAGTGGTTAGAGGGACAGAGCAGAGGAAGGGGGCCCAGGTGGTATCCTCTGGCCCTTCTCTACCACCACCCTCTGTTAGAGAAGAGGCATGGGGGACTGTACAGGAGAGACATACTTTGGGGATTGACCCAGATGCATACACACAGGAAGCGATCAAGACATAGGGGAAGGAAGTGGGGGCACTGAAGAGAGGGCCAGGGTCCCAAGGGGAGCTCAGGCAGGGCTTAAGGACAAATAGAGCAGAGAGGATGGCAGCCAAGGGGCCTTGCTTTGGAAGAGTCTGGGGACAGGGACCAGCAAAGGAAATAGCATCTTCTCCCCTGGGGTAGGAACTGAACGAAAGAGCTCAAGAAAAGTGGGGGGTGGGGGTCAAAAGAGACAAGAGCTTGAGGCCAGGAGTGGGTGGGGGGAGCCAGTCCTGACCAGTCCTGACAGGACCCAGACATCCAGTCTCAGGTTATTTTTATACTGTGGTTTGTGCCCAAGGCCAGGAAGGGGAAAGAGTTCTCATCCCCACACTCCCTGCCTTTCCTCCAGCAGTCCAAGGTGTTATTTTCTCCTTCAGGACAGAAGTGTCCAACCCCCACATCCCTGGCTGCCCACCCCCACCCCAGGGACCCAGGCATCCTGCCCCCCAGCCCAGACTTGTTCCTCTTTTGGAGACAGGAAGCCGAAAGAGCAAAGGATTTAACTCCTTCTTGGCTGCTTCCCGCCGCTGTTCTCCCACTCCACAGTGGCCACCCCCAGTTATCCGTCCTAGAGAGGCCCAGATGCAGGAACTGAGACAGACACCTGGGGATGGGGGGACAAACCAGCAAGGCACCCCCCATCCCTGTAATGTGTTCCCCCCACCCGATTCCTAGGTCCTCAGAGAAACTTGGCTTGCAACCAAGCTAGACATGGGGCTGGAATGGGGGCTGGTGGGAGGAAAGAAGACCCCCCCCATTCAGGATGGGACTGCAATGGAGACTTAAGTGGAATGCCCATCCAACCTCTCCTCCCCAAACCCTGGCAGCTCCGCCCCAAGGGGCCCAGCTACCCACAGCCAACCCCAGCCGGGGCCTCCACTCTCATCACCTAGAGCCAGAGGGGGTGAGACCAAGACAGAAAGAAGGTGAAGGCCAGATGAGGAGGCTACATATGCTATACGCTATATAGAGATGAGCTGAGGGCCAAAGACAACAAATGAAAAGTCGGAGAGAAAGAAGGTGCAGAAAGGAGGGAAGAAGGAAAGGAACCTGAGAGAGAAAACAGAGGAGGAATAGACTTCAAAGTGAGATGGCAGGGAGAGAAAAGAGGGCTATCTAATCTGACAGACAGGTGACAATGGAGGCAGGGAGGCCAGGATGGAGGTTAGGCCAAGGAACAACCTTCTAGGTGTCTCCCCCAACCTGGAACCCAACTCTTACCTGCCCCATCTCCTCTGGAGCAACCAACTCCATCCTCAGCCGCACGTCTCCATCTTTCCTTCGAGACAGTGGAGGGGTCCCAGCTGCTGAGCCCCCAGCCTCCACTTCTACCCTCAAGGAGGGCAGGGGTGTGGCAGCCCTGGAAGTGCCTGCACTATCCCCGGTCCCAGGCTCTGGGGGGCGCTGCTGGGGTGGGGAGGCTGACAGGGGGGGTGTCTCCACTTTGGCTTTGCCAGGTACCGCCAGCTGGCCCAGCCCCCCAGTGAAGGAGCGTGCCTGAGGTCCAGGGGACGTGGGGGGTGGGCGAAGCCAGGAGGTGGGGCCTTGAGACAGGCCTGACTGTGGGACAGGGGCGCCCAAGCCCAAGCTGGCCAGCTCCAACCTGGAATCCAAAGATCGGCCCCCGGTGCCCCCTGAGGCCCCTCGAATTCCCTCCAGGAGTCGGCCGAAGCTGGGGGGCTCCAGGTCTCTCTCGTAAACATCCACACACGTCCAACGACCTCGGCGATAAGGCTCTCCCAGGCCGTGGGGCAGCTTCACTACCCGGAAACGAGAGGCGGGGGCCCCAGGCGGTGGGGAGCCATTCCGGGGGGTGCCCTTGCCCCCTGGATCAGGGTTGGGCTCCCCATTGGGCAGGCGGGGTGGGGGCCCTGTGGGAGCCGGCAGGGCAGGGGGATCTGAACCCCCTGGGCTCCCTGGGCCCTCGTATTCCGTGGTGACGCTGGTGATTTGGAAACTACTCTTCTTCTTGCCCCCACTCATGGTCCCTGGGGCTCAGGACTGAGCTGAGTTGGGGGCACTGGGGCTCTTTTAGGGGCTCAGGCACCCCTGGAACAGGGGGGCCACATGGCAGGGGCATCAGGGCCCCTGGGGATGTCAGGGTCCGACATAGCAGGAGGGCCTTGCAGGAACTGGGGGTGCCTGGTTGGTGAAGGGAGCACAGGGTAGGGGAGGTGGCGGCAGGAGGTGGGGGCCGGGGCAGGTTTTTCCTGCTGCTGTCACTGCCGAACTCCAGAGCTGAGTTTGCAAACTGGAAAAAGGGGGGGGGGGAGAGAATGAGTGAGAAAGCAGTGGGCAGGCCACCTCTGGGGCTTCCTCTCTGGGGAGCAGAATGGGGGAGGAAGGGGAAACCGCCAGAGACCCAGAGACAAAGAGACAGGCAGAGAGACAGAGACCAGAGCAGAGGGGATGGGGTTTGTGAAGGCACACAGAGCAGGAAGAGGCAGCTGAAACCCAAAGTTGGGCATTTCTTGTCTGGGATCCGAACTCAGGAGACTGCAGAGCTGCGCTACCACGCATGGGCTCCAGCGCCTGGGTGAACCAGGCTGAAGCAGCTCTCCGGCCTCAACCGGCCGCCCGAGGCCTCTCCTCGGCCTCGAGGCCCCCGCACCCCGGCTCCCACATCTCTGGGCCAGACCGTGCTCCGCCGCCCCAGCGCCCCGCCCAGCCCGGAGCCCTACCTCCCGGGCCTCGGCCACTGAGCGAGCCGGGGGTCCCGGCGCCTAAGATGTCGGGCTGTACTTTCCTGGGGCCTCCTGCCCGGGGCGGCGCGGGGCACGCAGGCGGCGATCAGAGGCTGCTCAGTCCTCCTTGGGGGCCGCACCTCACCCTGCGAGGCATCTCTGTGGAAAGTTTGCTCTCCAGAAAAGAAGGAACCCGCGCCTCCTCGGTGGAGCCCAGGCGCGGCCTCTGAAGCCCCAAGGGTGTCGAAACCGATGTGGGAGGGGGCGGCCGGCCCCGGCGGTCTGAGCGGGTGGGTTTCCCGAGTCTCCTCCGCGTGGCCCCGCTAGGTCGGTGTCTCTGCTCCTCGGCTCCTCTTGGTCTCTGTCTCTCTGTCTTTCTCTTTCTGGGCTGTTGACAACCCCCACACCAGGAAGTCCTGCCTCCTCGGGCCTGCTGACTGCTCCTCTCCTCCTCCTCCTCCTCCTTCCCCTCTTCCTCCCCTTCCTCCTCCCCCTCTTCCTCCCCTTCCTCCTCCCTCCTGGGGCTCCCCGCCAGCTGGCCCCGAGCCAGGCCTGCCACAGCCGCTGCCGTTGCAGTTGCTGCTGCTGCTCCTGCTGTTCCCCGGGCCCCAGACGCCCTTAACCCCACACCTGCTGGGCCCCAGCCCGGCTCTTCCGCGGAGGGAGGGGCTGCGGAGGGCGGGGAGAAAAGGGAGGAGTTCGCGGCAGGCCTGGGATTCCCTTACTTGTAGGCACTTGCCACAGGCAGCAAGGAACATACCAGGCAATGTACTGGGTGCCTGATTGCCCATAAATGCCTAGTAAATGTTATAGTGCAGCTGTGGCTGTTATTGTCATATCTTCTTTTGATTTTCACAGTAACTGCATGGGGAAGGCACTATTCCCCCTACTCCTTACTTACAAAAATTTTCAAACATGCCATGCAGACAATGGGGAGAACATGCAAACTCCACACAGTGGCCCCATCCAGGAATCATTTTTTTTTTTCTCATCAACGTTATAAGGAAACGACATTCAACAAAACGATGTTATTCCAGGACCCGCTGTATTTTGCTGGCCTATTTGAAATCAAATACCAGCAGGTGCTGACCTGCACTTGCCCTCCAGTTGCTGGACACACATATGTCCACAGTTACCCACACAGATGCACCTGAGGACCAAGCCCAGCTGCCACAAGCATAGACCCCTCCCCTACCTCTGACCAATCCCACCTCTCCCATCCCGCCTTTTTATGAAGGAAAATCCACATACACCCATAAAGAGCCTACTATGTGCTTGGCATGAAAGAATAAACCCCCAGTGGCCATTTTCTCTCTTTTGGCATCCCTAACCAACATTCTGAGGGGGATTATTTTAGCAAAAACAATATCTAAAGGCCACATCTGCCCTCACTCTCAGGTTCAAAAGGATATGGGTTCTAATTAGTTTTGGTCATATGGAACTGCTCTCGAGTATTTTAAAAATTCCTCGTATTATCTCATTGGATTGCAAAACAGCCCTGGGAAGAGAGATGGGGTGAGTTTTGAGCGCCAGCTAAGGAAACTGAAGTTTAGAAACATTCAGTCATTTGCCCATAGCCTCAGAGCTAGTATTTGATGACACCCGGACTATAACTGGGCTGTCTCCTATTCCTAGTGCTCTTTCACACATTTCCTTCTCCCTTAGCTTGAGCTCATGGAAATTTCTAACTACTTTTTAGGGTTTGGCAAAAAAAACCCACAGTATAACCCCTACCCCCTCTATATATTTATTCTTTGTTTCTTTGTTAAAATGCATCTCCTGTTAGCCATAGTAACAATGGTTGCCTCCCAAGTCGTGAGGTCCAGGAAGCAGCCTCTCCCACATGCCCCCTTCCTCTCCAGACACTGTCCCTCCTTCCCCTGCAGAACCTTCTCTCCTCTGACAATATTCAGAACACAGCTCTGGCTGCTCTGCCCCCAGATCCTCCTTCCTTCTAGCTGACTTGCTAGAAACTGTTTGAAACTTATCTTTGGACCCTCCCTTCTCTGCCTCAGGCACTCGGTATCTGTGACTAGAGTCCCTGGAACATTATTGGTTTCTGCAAGGATATGTTTGTTGAATGAATACACATAAATTAATTCACACTAAGGTGTAAACTGAAATGGCTTGTATGTGTTTTAATGTTTTACCTCTCCTGGGAGCATTTATAATAGCCTTTATTTCTTTTTTTGTTTTTTAGCTCTTTATTTCTGCCTGTATAAATAGCCTTTAATGTGCGGGGCCCATTAAGAATTACAAGGCACTTTAGTAGTATTTTACCACCCTACAGATGGGATGAAGCATCTTTCAGAGAGGTTTTGTGATTTGTCTAAGCCCACACAGCACATCTGCAAAGACTTTGCCATATAAAGTAACACTCACAGGTTCCAAAGATTAGCACGAGCATCTTTTTGGGACCCATTTTTCAGCCAGTTAAGAGTATAACTCAGGTCTTTCTGAAGTTGATGCACCCCACCACAGAGCTGTAGGCCAAAGGGATTTCGGAGGGGACAATTTCTCAGGCATATGATGAGAAAAATGATGGGCAGGAGGACGAGGTCACGTCCCTCAGCGTCCAGCGACCACACCAGGGCGATGCTTGCAGTGGTCCCAGTCAGAGGCTGAGCATGTTAAGTCCAGGCGGGTGGCGCCAGCGGAGTCAAAGGTTATGGGAGGGATGACTTGGACCGCGGGGGTGGACGGGAGGAAGACTTTGAGCCCAGACAGTGGAACAAGGTCCGGGAGCCGGGGAGGCGGCCGAGCCAACAGGGGTGCCCTCCCAGCACCTAGGGGGCGGCGGGGAAGAGGAGGCGGGGCCAAGGGAGCACGCCTCCGTCGGGCAGAAACGCTGATCGTCCGTTTCCCGACTCTAGGAGACTCTACGCCCGGAAAGCGGCCCCCCCTGCCGGCCTCAGTGCCTCACTGCACGCTGGGCCCCGCAGCCGCAGCCTCGGCCCCGGCCCGACGCCGGGTGCGGACCCGGGAAGCGCCGGGCGCACGGGGTGCACGGGTGGGGCCCCGGGTTGCCGCTGGGGGGCGCCGCTGCGCGCCGCTCCGCCGGGGCTTAGGAGACCCAGCCCAGCACCGCCCCGCCGGGCAGGGGGCGAGGGGCGGCAAGGAGCGGGACGCCCCAAGGCGGGAGCAGGCTGTCGCCGGGCCCCTGGTGCCTTACAACCTTCCTCCGGATCTCCCCCCGCGGGCTCCGCGGCACCCGTGCCCCCCATCCCGGCCCGGCGGCGCACCGCGGCACCGCTGCTCCCGCTCCGTCCTTGGAGGGTGTGGAAGGGTGGGTTTGGGGCCGGGGGCGGGTCTGGGGGCGGACCCGGAGGCGGGGCTGTCTCTGCGGCAGGGCCCAGCTCCGCTCCCCCCGGTCTCTCTCTGTCTCTCCTCCTCCCTCCTCCTGCTCCGGGCGGAGCCCGGCATGGGGGGGCCGGCGCCCGGCAGGCCAGGTACGGTGATGTAGAAATTGGGGAGGCTTGGTGCGGGGAGGTGGCGGGGGACAAGGGGCAGGGAGGATTGGCGGAGCGAGAGGCGGAGAAACCCAGGGTAGCAGGACAAGGGGAAGGGGAGGGTGCCCGGGAACCTGGGGCCCTTGGATGGAGAGGGGGATGAAGCAGGCCAGGTTTGAACACACAGGGGAAGGGGGAGGACGGCAGTGAGGAGGGGCGCCTGGGAGGAGAAGTGAGGCCGAAGGCGAAAAGGAGAGTGTGTGTTTGGGGGAAGGGAACCCAGAGCAGGTAGGAGGCCGCAGCTCAGAAGGTAGTAGCTATGGGGCCGGACTGGAGACCCCCGGGTGGGATTGAGGGGTGGGGACTGGAAGAGGAAAGCCGGGGGCCTCCCAAATCCTGGAGGAGGAAGAAGGTGATTTGGGCCATCAGCGAGGGAGGGAGGCAGAGACCACTGAGGGGCCAGGGAGCAGGAATCTGGGTGGACAGAGGCCCAGGCCCAGGGAGGCACTGGAAGGGGGCCACTGGGAGTGGAGACGGATGGATGGGTGGTGTTTCAGATGCCCCACTCAGACAGCCCCCACCCTTCCTTCAGTATCCCCACCCTGCTCTCATGATGCCCCCCCAAAGCCTCAGGGCCCAAAGGGGTGGAGAGTCCGACCATCTTCCCTTCCCCAGTGGGGTGCAATGTACGCAAGTAGGCCCTGGGCATAACTCCTTGTCTGTAGGTGTGTCCAGTTCTGTGTAGCAGATTTGTGTGTGTCTGGAGGTCTGTGTGTGTCTGTGGGTGTGTCTGTGGGTGTTTATGTCTGTGTGCGCCTGCCTATTCCTAGGTTTCTGTTTACCTATGCCAATCTATGTGTCTGGTCCTCTGTCTGTAGATAGGGGTCTGTGGCTCCATGGTTTGTGTGTCTGAATGTGTGTTTGTGTGGCTGAGGGGTTGCTATCCGTTTGTGGGGCCTGTCTGTGTGGTGGATCAGGATGTATTTACACAAGAAGGAATCTGTGTCAACCTGATCTCTCCAGAGCGTGTATTTGTGGCTCTGAACACCTTTGTCAGGGTCTGTGGTTCTGTGTACACATGCAGGTCTATGTCTGTCTGTCTGTGGGTTCTCAAGGCTGTATTGGGTTTTCTGTGTCTCTCTGTGTATTCTTCTCTGAGGACCCGAGTCACGTCTGTGCTCCTTTTTCTCTCTTTCATTCATTCCTGGCCCCCACCCATCCCACATCTTTCTTTTTCACCTTCCTACCCATTCCCCACCAAGTGGATCCGGGACCCAGGGAGGGCCGCCCCCCGGGCCTGGTGGCGCTGAGCAGGGCCCCCCAGCCCCCACCTCCTGCCCCACGACATGAACCTCCTCTACCGAAAAACCAAACTGGAGTGGAGGCAGCACAAGGAAGAGGAGGCCAAGCGGAGGTAAGCAAAGCTGTGCTCCCAGACTGCCCCCCTTTGTGACCCACCTCTGCTACCCCCTGGCTGGGCCACAGCCCCTCCTGGGGCTCAGCAGCCTTGTTGACAGTGAGATCTCTGACCTCAGAGTCTGTGCTCAGTACAGAGTGGCTGGGATGGCACACCTGCTGTCCCACCCTGCTCCTGGCCTCCTGGGGGTTTCCAGATCAGGAGCACCCTGTTGGCTCTTCCCCATCCCCAAGGCCTAAGTCACTCCTTCCTGACTCACCTCTGGCCTATGGTCTTCTCACTGCAAATTTGGGGCTGGCTGCTGGCTGTCCTGTCACCTGACCTTGGAAGGGGCAGGCCCCGCCTCCCTCACAGGGTCTAGGGATGGGGTCATTTTAGGGGCATCAGAGAACATCCATTTGGCCCTCTCCCAGTCTCCTCAGCTGGGGGAGGTGAGTGGCCAAGTGACAGGGCTGTGTGTGGTGGGAGGGCATGGAGGCTGGGCCCCGCAGAAAAGCCAGGGCTGGGGACCCCCTCCCACAGCCCCATCCCTGGTTGCCTCTCTCCTGGCCCTCCCAAGGACCTGGGGACTGGCCTCTCTCATCTTGCCCCCTTCTCCCCTTCACCCCCATTGACTGCACAGCCTCTTGAAGCCTGACTCAGAGCCACCTCCCTGCTCCCTCCTCGCAACTGTGGAGTTTAATTCTTGTTGTTAATTAGATTAATCAGAGCGATCGCTGCAGCGATCTCTCCCTAATGAAGGGTTAGTAGACAGGGCCTTAATGAGAGCCCACCCCCAGCAGCTTCCCCCTCTTCCCTGCCAGCCACCCCCCTCCCCTCACACAGAGGCTCAGGGACAGTGAAAGGGAATGGGGGTGAGCTGGGGAGGGTGACAGAGAGAGGGCAGCACTAAGGGAGAGGGAGGAAGGGAGGAAAAAGGATCGGGGGAGGGGGGCTGCTCTGGCTGCACATGGGAGGGGAGGCGCCCTGGGTGCGTGGGCTGCAGTAGCTGGACAGGAGGGGAGGCCAGAGGCCAGGTGTGGGCCAGCATGAGAGTGAGAAGAAGCCCCAGAGCTGTGGTGGCAGGTGAGCTGTCCGTCTGTCAGGCAGGGCTGTGTTGCCTGGGTTTGCATCTTTCTCCCTGTACAAGGCCATCCACACAGGTGCCTTGTGCTGGACGTGCCCAGGCTGGGATCCGTCAGCCCCAGGGACACCCCATTCTCCCATCCCTGCCCCTGACTGCCTTTTTATAAACCTGAGATTCAGCCTCAAGTCCCTACATTTATGCCTTGGGCCTTCAGGCATCCCCATCCCCACCCCAGGCTCCCTTCCTCCTCCCTGGGAAGCCACAGGGTTGCCAACACCTCTTGGGGTGGAGGAGGGGGAGGCCCAGGTCTGAGGTCCGTCCTCTGTTCCATCACGGTCTTCTCTCCCCAGCTCCAGTAAGGAGGAGGCCCCCGCAGGCCCGGCAGGGCCTGGGGCTGGCCCGGGGCCCGGGGTCCGAGTGCGGGACATCGCCTCGCTGCGCCGCTCCCTCAGGATGGGCTTCATGACGATGCCCGCCTCCCAGGAGCACACCCCCCACCCCTGCCGCAGCGCCATGGCCCCACGCTCCCTCTCCTGCCACTCAGTGGGCAGCATGGACAGTGTGGGAGGTGGCCCTGGGGGGGGCAGTGGGGGTCTCACAGAGGACAGCAGCACGCGAAGACCCCCCGCCAAGCCCCGGAGACACCCCAGCACCAAGCTCAGCATGGTGGGGTCAGGGGCAGAGACACCCCCTAGCAAAAAAGCAGGTGAGACACCCCCCATCCCTCCCCAGGGGTAGCTGGGAGCTGGGAGGATCTATTCCAGGCCAGGGGAGGCCTGCAGGGAGGTTCATTCAGGGAAGAATCTAGGAAGTGGAAGGTTCCATTCTCAGAAGGAATGGGGAGGTCCTTTTGGATGGGCCTGAGATGAACCATTCAAGGGCAGGGGACACTCCCTGAAAAGTTCATTCCTGGGAAAGTGGTGGTGGCCTTGGAGGGACATGAGGGAGGGCTGACTGGTAGAAAAGGAAGCTACTAGGGCTGCAGGTTGAGGGGTGTGGGAAAATGAAGAGGCCGATATGTCCTTGCAGTTGGGTCAAGAGGTCAGAAGGGGTCCCCCCTCTCCTCTCCCCATTAAAAACCCAGTTTATTTTCTCTTTCCCATGCTGCCCAGGCTCACAGAAGCCAACCCCAGAGGGCCGAGAGTCCAGCCGGAAGGTTCCTCCGCAGAAGCCCAGGCGAAGCCCCAACACCCAGCTCTCTGTCTCCTTCGATGAGTCCTGCCCCCCAGCCCCCTCTCCTAGAGGGGGGAACCTGCCCCTGCAGCGCCTCAGTAGGGGGTCCCGAGTAACTGGGGACCCTGATGTGGGTGCCCAGGAGGAAGAGCCCGTGTACATTGAGATGGTGGGGGATGTCTTCAGGGGGGGAGGAGGAAGTGGAGGGGGCCTAACTGGGCCCCCTCTCGGGGGTGGGGGCCCGACCCCTCTAGCGGGTACCGACTCAGACTCCGAAGAGGGGGAGGCCATATATGAGGAGATGAAGTACCCGCTGCCCGAAGAGGCGGGGGAAGGCCGGGCCAACGGGCCGCCCCCCTTGATGGCAACCTCCCCACCTCACCAGCCTCATGCCCTTCAGCCCCACACCCACCGTCGTCCAGCTTCAGCCCTCCCAAGCAGGAGGGATGGGACACCCACCAAGACCACCCCTTGTGAAATCCCCCCACCCTTCCCCAATCTCCTGCAGCACCGTCCTCCACTCCTGGCCTTCCCCCAAGCCAAGTCTGCTTCCCGAACCCCTGGCGATGGGGTCTCAAGGCTACCGGTCCTCTGCCACTCCAAGGAGCCAGCGAGCTCCACCCCAGCTCCCCAAGTGCCTGCACGGGAGCGGGAGACGCCTCCCCCACTGCCTCCGCCTCCTGCTGCCAACCTGCTGCTGCTGGGACCATCGGGCCGGGCCCGGAGCCACTCCACACCATTGCCACCCCAGGGCTCTGGCCAGCCCCGGGGGGAGCGGGAGCTCCCCAACTCCCACAGCATGATCTGCCCCAAGGCGGTGGGGGTGCCAGCAGCCCCTCCTGCCCCGGCTGCCTTGCTCCCCGGCCCCCCCAAGGACAAGGCCGTGTCTTACACCATGGTGTACTCGGCAGTCAAGGTGACCACACACTCCGTCCTGCCAGCTGGTCCACCCCTGGGTGCTGGGGAGCCAAAGACGGAGAAGGAGATCTCAGTCCTCCACGGGATGCTGTGCACCAGCTCAAGGCCCCCCATGCCAGGGAAGTCCAGCCCCCACAGCGGGGCCATGGGCGCAGCAGCTGGGGTCCTCCACCACCGCAGCTGCCTGGCCTCCCCTCACAGCCTTCCGGACCCAACTGCAGGCCCCCTTGCCCCCCTCTGGACCTACCCAGCAGCAGCAGCTGGGCTCAAGAGACCCCCTGCCTATGAGAGCCTCAAGGCTGGGGGGGTGCTGAATAAGGGCTGTGGAGTGGGGGCCCCATCTCCCATGGTCAAGATCCAGCTACAGGAACAAGGAACCGATGGGGGTGCCTTTGCCAGCATCTCCTGCGCCCACGTCATCGCCAGTGCAGGGACACCAGAGGAGGAAGAGGAGATGGGCGCCACAACATTTGGGGCAGGCTGGGCTCTGCAGAGGAAAGTCCTGTATGGAGGGAGGAAGGCAAAGGATCTGGACAGTGAGTGAGGGGTGGGGAATGGGGGGGGTGGCTGGGGATGCTGGTGATGGTTTGGGGGAGGTGTTGGAGGGGTTATTTCGAACTCACAGCCTTGGTCTGGGAAGTCCAGGTCTAGGAAGTTTCCTGGGAGACCAGAGGGGTGGGTGTGGGCAGCAGACTGAAGGGCTGGGGTCCCCAAGTGTGTACCGGAGGGGCAGGAAGGTCTGGCATACGGAGGGGGTCGAATGTGGCCCTGACCTGGTCTGCTCCCTGCCCCTCCTTCCCTGGGCTGCAGGGGTGTGTGTTTGTGAGTGTGCGCACACTAGGAGCTAAACACAGCTGCCTCCCAGCTGTTACCATGGCAACCCATCCAGACGGGAGGGAGAGGAGAGGGAGGCCCCTACCGTTGCCTGGCAACACAATGCTCTGCCAGGCCTACTCTCAGAGATGAGCTTAGTTCACATGCAGCCCTTCCCCCCAGCACCCCCCTTCCGGGGCTCAGGATTTGGGATTCTCCCCCTACTGGTCTGGCTGGCAGGAGGGCAGTCATTCTGGCTCGGTCTGGAGCTGGAGGAGCGTGGAAGCTAAAGTTGGGGTAGAGGAAGCCCCTCTGACTAGGCAAAAGGGTTTGGAAGCAACAAATGTATATAATTCTTAGCCCCAGGAGATGATACCAATGTGTGGAAAGGAAAGTGGCAGGACTGGGGTCCCTCCTGTATGTGTGTGCTGGGGGAGTGTGAGGTAGTCCCATCCCTGCTGTGACTTGGGGCGGGTTTCTTGGTCCACCCATGCTGCAGTGTGTGTGGCTGGGGGGACAGAAGGACTCAGTTCTCTGTGTCATCCCAGCAGAGGTCGAGGATGGCCCCCGGGCCTGGAATGGCAGTACGGAGGGTCCAGGCAAGGTGGAGCGTGAGGACAGGGGCCCTATGACATCAGGGATCCCAGTGAGGAGCCAGGGGGCAGAGGGCCTGCTGGCCAGGATCCACCACGGAGGAGACAGAGGAGGGAGCCGCACGGCGCTGCCCATGCCCTGCCAGACCTTCCCCGCCTGCCACCGCAATGGAGGTGACGCCTGCCTGCACACACCTGTACACAGATGGGGCTGGCTGGGGAGAATCTCCCAGGGTCTGCTTCGCCTAACCTGCTCACTTGTTCGCCTCCATGTCCAGAGCCCTAAGCCTTTGCACCACATCTCCATTCCCCCTTCCTCCTCCCATGAGGCAGGGGCAGCCTGGACAGGGGCTCTTCTCCAGGAACTGGGGGAGGGGGCACCAGAGGCCCCTGTCCTACTCACTCCTCCTCCTTCCGCCTCAGACTTCACGGGAGGCTACCGCCTGGGGCGCTCAGCCTCCACCTCGGGAGTCCGGCAGGCCGCGCTCCACACCTCCCGGCCCTGCAGCCAGCCCAGGGATGCCCCCAGCCAGGTGAGGCATGGTTTTTCTTTTATCTGTGAAGGAGCAGGTAGAGAAGAAGGCTTGGGTGTGGAAAGAAAGGGGTCAGTCGGGCTGGGGCCTGAGCCAGCCAGATTGGCACTGACTAATGGGGACCCGGGGTTGAGAGTGAGGGGGTTCAGGGAGGATCCAGGAAGGGGCTGCATGAAAAGGGCCGCGAGGCAGGGCCTGGCTTGGAGATCAGTTGAGGCCACCGCCAGCCGACAGTGCGCCTTTGTGCCATTTAGAGAAAGGACTCCCTCTGGGTGGACCAATTAAAAAATTGTAGCCATCTAAGAAGACAATTTTTAAAAGGCACCCCTTCCTCAGGGTGACAGAGGCTCAGCGCGGCACCAGGGCGCCAGGCTGGAAAAAGAGACAGGCAGGGGTTGGATTTCAGCCAGGTGGAGAGGACAGAGGCCATGGGAGGCGAGAGAGGACTTGCTTTGGGGGGAAGACATTGCTCTCAAGAGCTGGGAGCCGGGACCCGGCCGGGGCACTCTGAGGTCCTCGACGCCCCCCCCTTTCCTTTCTCCCCCGTCGGTGGCACAGACCCACCCCGCGCTGCCGCTGCCGCTGCCCCTGCCGCCCCAACCGGCCCGCGAGCGCGACGGCAAGCTGCTGGAGGTGATCGAGCGCAAGCGCTGCGTGTGCAAGGAGATCAAGGCGCGCCACCGCCCCGACCGAGGCCTCTGCAAGCAGGAGAGCATGCCCATCCTCCCCAGCTGGCGGCGGGGGCCCGAGCCCCGCAAGTCCGGCACCCCGCCCTGCCGCCGGCAGCACACCGTCCTCTGGGACACTGCCATCTGAGGAGGGCGGGGAGGCCGGGGCACCTGGACTGGGGAGCGGGGCGGGGCACGGCACGCCCGGCTCTCCCGGGAGATTTGCCTTGAGAGACACTGAAGGATCAGGTGAGAGAGAGCCAGGGAGAACCCCTGCCCTCCACCCCAGCCCCCGGAGATGGGGAGCCTGCCAGGCCCATCGGACTTGGGGTGCCAACGGCACCACCGAGAAATCTGGGGGAGGAGGAAGGGTTTGCTTGAAGTCGGGGTGAGACCCTGCGGCTGTTCTCCCCACTGAGTGTGGTAGACCTCTGCTCCTGAGAGGGCAAAGGTCAGCATGGGGGGTGAAGGAAGGAAGAGCTCGGGAGGAAGGATGGGGGGGTGGGTCGAATGAAAGAGAGGGCCTAGAGAGTGAGGTAGAGGAGCTCTTTTGTAGAGTCGGGAGTCGTTGGGGAGGGGTATTTATTTTGTTATTTATTTTAGTCTGGAGGGCAATTCTGGGCCCTTCTGACCTACTTCTGAGCAGGGAGTGGAGAATCAAGGCCAAGTTTGCACTCTCCCCAGTGCCAATGCGTAAAGGCCCCACCACCCAGGCCACCCCACAGCCAGGGAGGGGTGTGCACAGGGAGTGGACTGAGAGAAGGGAGGGGCCCAGGTGAGCGGAGGGCCGGAGACCATTTCCAGTATTTACAATTTGCCAGAATTTGGTAGTCAGTGTGGCCTGCTCTGAAACAGGCATCTTACTTAGTTATGGGGTGAGGGTCTAGCGCCAGGGATGGGCGGGATCATGGGGAAGGAGGGAAATTTTAGCGGGTGGGGGGTGGGCAGGGTATTTATTTAAATTAAAAAACAAAAACAAAACAGAAGAGATGTCAGGAACTTTTTTTTAATTCCTTTCTTTTCAGAATAATATATTAAAAGACTAATGATCCTAGAGCTGGCTTCTTATATTTCAGTGTGCTCCGCCTTTCTCACATTTTTTTTTTCTTTTTCTATCTTGCCCTTGGTTGGTGGGGGTTGAAGGTTGTATGGGGAGGGGTGAGTAGCTGTGGCCGGTAGCAGGGAGAGGTGGAGTTTGAGGTAAGTCTTTGGGATGGCCACCATGCAGTGAATCAGTAAGCATTTATAGAGCATCTAATGTGTTCTTGGCAATGCATTGATGCAGAAGGAATATTCAGTCATGAAGCTTGCCCTCGAGCACCTTATAGTCTACTCAGGGAGATGAAACACCTGAGTCAACAGTAGACCATGCTGCAGGAATAAGAGGGAGAGGGCGGGAGTCATCCAAAAAGGCTTCCTGGGACAGGTAAGGTTTGGATGAGCAGTATGGAGGAGGGAAAGCCCCAACGTCACAGTATGATTGTCTACGGAACAGTAGGACATGGGGGGTAGTGGTATTTAAATGATATAGTAAGTCCAGCCACGTGGAAGCTCGTTCAGAAAGATCAGCCTCCAAGCAACATGCAGGTCCTCCCACAGGAATCCAGAGGAAATCTGCTTAGGAGGCGATCTGTCACCAGGGAGGAGGATAAGGAGGGTATCTGGGAGGATGGAGGGCAAGGGACAGTTGCAAGAGGCAGCCGAAAGAAGACATCCTCAAGATGGAGATGAAGGAGTGGAATTGGTCATACACGAAGCCCAAGTTCAGAGGTCCGGTGTTTGGGTAGATGACAGAGCAAGAAAAGTGGGGTTGAGAGTGGCTTTGAAGGAAGAATGTTGAATTTGAAGCAACGGTGAATATTCAGGTTGAAAGGTTTGTTACTTGCTGGAACAGAGTTTCAAAAAATGTGGTGGATGATAGATGTATTTAAGCAGCATGAAGAACATTTTTGAAAACTTTAATAGTTTCAGGTTTATGTTTATTCATATTAGAAAAATTTTAACCAACGCATCCGGCCACTTGTTATTTCATGGATGTTATTGCATAAGATAAGGCTGAATTTATTTTTAATGAGTTGGTTTAAAGAAAAAATATTAAGCAAATAAATAATGGTACAGGCAGTATACAGACTATGAAAAATTGTGACATAATTTTTGAAATTTAGGAAACCCCAAGTTAGAAGTAAAATGAGAGAGAGGACAAGATGGAGGCTTTTAGGAGTCATGAACTCGGAAATGGTACTCAAGGTCAACACAGGTGAGCTCTGTCAAGAGGGTGTGGCTAGAGATAAGATTTAAGGACAAAATATAAATAAGCAGCAGCTTTTTTTAATAACTAGTTACCAAATTAATGGAAGGAAATATCCCATTCATAAGAGAAACAAAAACCATAAAATATCCAGGAGTAACTTTAACAAGAAATGTATAGGACCTACATTGGATCAATCAAAAAAACTCCAGTCTTTTCAGTCACTTAAAAAAGGAAAGACTTGAATAAGGAAAGAGTACTTACTTATTCTTAGATCTGAAGACTTGATAATATAAAAGATGTCAGTTTTCCCTAAATCCATAAATTCAATGCAGGCTCTAAATCTCAGAAGGATTATTTAGGAAACTTGATAAAATAATCTGAAAGTTCACACAGAACGATAATGAGAAAAACCAGAACATTCTGAAACAGAAGAGTAATGGAGGGACTTCCTCTACTAAATACTAAAGCATGAAATACGGTCACAGCATGCTGGTCCTAGCACAGAACTGGCATAATCCATCAGAACAAAGAGTCCAGAAATAGCCCCAAATGCACATGGGAATTTAGCACTTATATGATAAAAGTGATATTGTAAATTGGTTGGGAAAGGATTAGTTATTCTATAATTATTTCTTGAACAATTAACCAGTCAGGAAGGGGAACATGGGAAGCTGTATTTCTGTTTCATTCATTATGCCAAAAGATTTAAATGTAAAAACAAAACATTAAAAGGGAAAAGCGGATGAACATTCTTATACCTTTGGGATGGACGAGTCCTTTTGAAAATGACATGAAAACTAGAAATAAATAAGCCGAAAGACTTTTAAGTTTGATCATATTAACAATTAAAACTTCTAGGCCAGGAGCACGTGTGTAATCCTAGCACTCTGCGAAGCTGAGGCAGGAGGATCACTTGAGGTCAGGAGTTTGAGACCAGCCCGAGCAAGAGCGAGATCCCATCTCTACAAAAGATAGAAAAATTAGCCAGGCGTGGTAGCGCACACCTGTAGTCCCAGCTACTTGGGACCTGAGGCAGGAGGATCACTTGAGCCTGGGAGTTTGAGGTTGCAGTGAGCTATGATGACACCACTGCACTCTAGCTGGGGTGACAGAGTGAAACTCTGTCTCAAAAAAAAAACCAAAAAACAAAAAGCTCAAAAAACAAAAAAACCTCTATATGCCAAGTCAAACTATTAATACAAACATTAAACTGGGAAAATATGTCTAACACATGTGAAAAAGATTAATACAATATATAAGAAGTGTTCATGAGTCAAAAAAAAAAAAGAAAAAGCAACCCAGACAAATGTGAACAAAGAGCATAAATTCACCAAAGAAACAGAAATTAAGAATATACCTGGTCAACCTCAACAATAACTAAATAATGTAAAATAAAGTAGTGAGAAAATACTTTTCACCATTCAAATAGACAAAAGTGAAAAAAATTCATAACATCAATCTGGTAAGTATGTGCAGAAAACAGGCACTCATTGTGTAAATGTAAATTCATATAGCCTTTTTGGAGGTCAGTTGAATATTATTTTAAATGTGTACAGTTTTGACTCAGAAATTCCATTTCCAGGAATTATCCTATGGAAACAGTTACACAAGTGTGCAAAGCTAAATGTACAAGGGTGCTAATTGCAGCATTGTTTGAAATAATGAAAAATTGGAAACAACCCCGAAGTTCATCAGTATGGCATTGACCAAGTAATTTATGGTAACAATGGAAAACTGAAGCTGTTAAATAGAATTCAGAAGATATAAATGTTCTAAGCACAAGAAGCAGTTGACAAATTAATAAGTGAGTAAAGCAATGTGCAAGGAAAGTACACATAGAAAAACCCCATTTTTAGAAAAATTGTTTATTTGTAAATATTTATGTAGAAAAAGGTCTGGAAGGAAATATTCCAAATAATTGATGGTGATTATTTTGAGGTCTGAGAAAAGAGGGACTTGATTTACTTTCTAAAAAATAAATTTATATTGCTTAAATTTTTATCTGTATGTCTTAATTTTAATATCAGAGGATATAGATATATATATGTTTTATTATTTTTTAAAGGAAAAGAAGTAGTTAATTGTTCAAGGAGAATGAAAAGGGGACAAGTGATTATGGTCAGTGAGAAGAAGGGGATGCGGAGCCTGCGTGTGTGCGTTGAAATCCCAGATTGGCACTTAGAGGCAAATTCCCTTATCTATAAAATGGGGACAATTAGAAGATTGTTGAGATGATTAAATAAGATAGCGCAATGCTTCTGTTGAGGCTTAAGAGAGAGGGAGAGGGATACAGATTGAGATGGGCTGAGATAGGGAAAGACTAGAACTGAGAGGCAAGGTGTAGAGGGAGGTCTGGTAGCAAGGGCCAGGTCAAAGGCAGGCACTTGAGGCTGCTGTGAGCCCAGGCTGCATGCAGGTGAAGATCAAAGCCTGTGAAGAGTTAGAAGATTAAAACACTTAGGCTGTTAAAAAAAAAAAAAAAAACCAAAACACTTAGGCTGTGCTGGAACTATAAATCTCGAATGAGAAATGGAGGGAAGAGCACCACCTGGGAAGTCAGCCTGCCCTGCCTGCCTGACACCTGGTACAACTCACCTGGGACTACATGTCCCCTCCTAGGGTCACTAGGACACTTCGAATTCTGACTTTCTACCTTTTGAAACTCCAGCAAAGCAGGGGACTTTCAGGCAGGCACAGTGGGAGGTGAGGGCACTCTGGGGCATTCAAGTCAAGAAGGACATGGGAGCAGGGAGAGCGGGGGGACCTTCGCTGGGGAAGTCAAGCATTTGAACGAAAGGAGAGAGAAAAGAAAGACCTTGGAAATAATATTCTGCTTCAGTTGTCCTCACCTGTTTTGCCCCTTGAGATCATATGTCTCTGAAGATCAGTTTCTAGCAAATATTACTAGGGTAATGTCAAAAAAAAAAAAAAAAAACAACTAAGGGACAAACTTAAAGAGGCTCCCAATGGCAAAAAGATGGGATAATTCGAATATCAAGAAGGGTAATAACTATAATGAGTTGAAAGACAAATATATTGAAATCCCCGAGTTCATATGATTTTTAAAAAATTGTTCACCTTTGGAGGATGCTAAGGAATCAACTCATTATTCTGAAAACTGGTAAGTAAAGGGAAAGAATCAAGCATCTAGCTCCCTTTATCAAATCATAGATGAAGGGAAGTTTCTGTTGTTTCTATATATTCTGGCTAATAAATGAAGAAAGAATTTCAGAATTATAATATCACCATGAAGTAATGGATCCATGTATTGAGTTTCAAGAGTAGCTAACATCATACATCACATAGTAAGAGATAATCAGGCATTATTTGCCTCTTGTTGGAAGGAAACACCTATGTATGAGGTGTTTTTGCCCCCAGAAATCAAACCTGAGACGATGATCAAGCCTCTAGACGCACATACTAATTGCAGGAAATACAGAGGAGAGGGGAACACGTTAGACACCACCATGGAATGCAGCCAGCAAAAGGGACTGTGGGAAACATCATAGGACAAACAACCTGGGTTCTTCAACAAACACATTGTCAAGGAAAAGAAAGAGATGGAGAGGGAACCTGTAGATTAAAAGAGCCTAAAAAAGACATATCACCATTTGCAATCTGTGGCCCTTATTTGGATCCTGATTCAATTAAACTCTTTTTAAAAAAAGCTCACTACATTTATGGGTCAATTGAGAACATGACCACTGACTGGCTATGTGATGATGTTAAGGAATTATTAATTTTTTAGACATGGTAATGTATCATGGTTATATATTTTTGAGTTCTTAAAGAAATAATACTGA